AAAGTTAGTAGCCGGTAGTCATCGGGTTAATGTAATGGAAAGGAAATATTTTGGAAGCTTAATTTGCTCACTTTATTTATTGGACATTAAGCTAAGGGTTTTACAACTTAGATTAAAACTTATACTGTAATAACTAAAACATGCAAGTTGATGACTTACACCAAATCTACAGGTTTTGGACTGTATTCAGTATTCTCTCTTGCTTATTTTTTACTGTGAAATGGATTTTACTTGAGTAAAGCACAAGTTGAATAACAGTTTTAATTTCTAAACAAGTGAGTTTATATACCAGTTTGCAGCTTCTACTTCAGTACATTATAAAATATTATAATGTACCTGATGGCCATTAATTGATACTGCAGTGAGTTATGTGTAGATGCTTCACTTACAGCTGGCTAAAACAATTGCTAATAGTATACGCCTATCTTTGACAGGTAAAATAGTAGCAACAAAATCCCGTTCTAACATGGAGAAATTACTTGGTTTCACAACAGAACAGAAATTACAATTAACACTTACACAGTCTCATCAATGGGCTTATTAGTTTTTCACTCCAGTTCCTTCAGTATTTTCAGTATAATGTTTTGTTCCTCCCTACACAGGGCTTGTGCTAGTCTGACATGAAAACTTTCTCTCAAGTTTTCATAACTTTTTTTTTTTGGAACGGCTTTTTTTTCATACTCTTTAAGTTTATTAACTAATATAAATCTGGCACACTCAGCAACTTTCTTCTGTTCTTGCTGAGAGAGTTCAACTTCTTCATACACTACCATGTTCCAGAATTCCCTAGAAAAACAAAAGGTCTTTTGTAAAAATGAAACTGAGTGTTTATATAAAGTGATTATGTTGAAGACAATATTTTTACCATAGGAACCAAAACACGTACAGTATTACAACCGTATCTATAAGACAGATGTTATACAACATCCATTTGTATATCTACTATGGTAAGTTACAGAGTATTATATAAGAATGCTGTTTCCACACAGTTTATGAAGGCTCATTCAAGGCATATTTCAGTGTTTTTGTGGGTTTGTAAATTCTGGTACTTTTGATGCATGCAAGAGATTATTAAGATACCAAATGAACCAGGTAAAACCTGTTTCATATTACAATCATCTTGAGAACTTTCAACAGATAACAAAGCCTAAAATATTTTATAAAGAAAGTTGAATTTATTATCATACTTCTTTTTCAGAACATATCTTTGTATGGAATAAACTTATTAGTTGAATTTCACTGTAAAATTTGAGACATTGTAAAAGTTAGCCAATTGTTATACTTATTAAAGTTGGCTTCTATTGCAATAGTTACATTTAAATAAATTGTTATTGACAAGAGTGATTTACAATGTTTCTTACAGTTAAAACGTGCTTACTGTTTGATGAACCTACCATTTTATATGGTTTTATAATGAAGATGAAATTGATCATCAATATTTAGAGCATCTAAAATTGGAAATGTGAAACTGTATCATTCATTAAATTTAATTTTCAAATTATCACTCAATATAACTAGTAGATCTAAATATATATATACCTGCTATGTTTACGTACACTCAGAAGTTTTAAGGCAGCCACAAGATTCCATGTCATTCCTTCTTGAGAACAGCCCATACTGCTGAAAAAAAAAATTGTGAATGATAATACTTTAAAAATTAGTTACTGAAATAACACTTATTACTTTTTAAATTATAAAACTTTTTTTTCAGAATTTTTTATTCATTGATATAGAACATTTACATATAACTAAAATACTAGTAACAAATTTAAAACTACATTAGTTGAAGTTAAACTTTTCTGTGCAACTACATTTTGATTTCACAAAAACTGACAAACATTCATTACCTTACAAGATGCTGTCTATTAATATATACATACATACATACATACAGAGGTATAGAGAAGACTACGAGCATCAGTTGAAGTGCGACTTTTCTGTGCAACTACATTTTGATTTCACAAAAACTGACAAACATTCATTACCTTACAAGATGCTGTCTATTAATATATATATATATATACACACATACATACAGAGGTATAGAGAAGACTATGAGCATGTAGGGTTTTGTGGATAAAGTGATATTGGGAGTATCCTTTTCAGCATTCGGTTATCACAGAAATTTTAATGAGTTACTAATTCTTTAATTTATTAGTTACTTTTTGTCAATTCACCATAGCATTGATATATATATCAATATCTTCTGTATCTCAAAAAATGTTCAAACATTTGAAATAAAATCTGTGTGTTTTAATTTTCTATACTTACTGTAAGAGTTCAGTCGTGTTTTCATGTCATAAAGAAAGTTTTAAATCAATTTTATTTTGAAATTAAATACTCCAAATGTAGAACAGTATTAATGATTATAAATATAAGCAATGTTATGTGCCGAATAACATCTTAACGTGGCATAATTCTTATTTTATGCATTTTTTTTAATACTCAGTGAACAACACATTATCAATGTTTTAATAAAATTGTTTTATAACCAGCTTTAACATTTTATAGTGAACCTACTTCAATCACAAGAACAGTTTTAGGGACAAAAAAGCAGTAATACAAGAAAACTTATGAATAACATAAGGTAACCTGTGATCAATGATCACAAATGTTAAACTTGTTCTTAATTACTGAGCTACATTTCAACCTCTGATTTGAAAACACCTGAAAGGTACTGCATGGAAAGATTTTAAAAAATTCTGTTTATTCTCTAATACTTAACAATGTGAGTTGCATTGTATTATACATGATATATATATATATATATATATATATATAATTATCCATCATTTAAGTGAGCAAGTTAACAACAAAATTATTTTTTATCTTACACACTTCACATTTATACCTGAGTAGTTTCCTCTCCCTCAGAAATGACAACTTTTCATCAGTAACATGGAGTTGGTCATATTTTTCAAAGGCACATTTGATTTCCTCTAGAAGAGAGAAAATCAGGAAACAAAACAAGAAATAAACTCAGCATATGATTCATCTATAACAACATACTTCAAGTAGTATCATGATACATGTAAATAATGCATATTATTAGCTTTACAAGCAGTTTACAATATAAAACAAGTAAGATTTAAAACCTACGAATACACTTCATCAATCCAAAGTTAACACCAGTGTTTGTTTATTCGCTTAATTCACAGTACGATAAAACAAAAAGACATTGCAATATATATACTGTAAACTAATAAATATATATATATAAAACATGTTCATATGGGGCTCAGAAAGGCACAATTCATATTTTTTGTCAATAAGAGTTAGTACGCCTTAAAATTGACACATTAAAAATTCTAAGACTACATTATAAAGTCTCTCTTACAGTATCATCTTTACTGCAATATAATCTTGACAGTTATAATCATAAAAGCCAAGTGTCAGTCAATTGTTTATTCTCGATTACACCAAATTGCGTGAGTTACAAGAGTCCAATTCCACTTTTTCTCCTATGATACTTCTTTTGATTACCTGTTGCCATTTTAGTTGAATTCAATTGCTAACATAGGTGTAAATAGCTCCTCAATTTAGGCACTTCTTCTGCTGTATAAAAGCCTGTCAAGGAGAGGGAGTTTTTATACCAAGGATTTATTTAGCAACAAGTGAAATTAATTTAAGTTTTTGAACAATGATCGAGTATTTACAAGAAACATGGTTTGAAGAGAACTGTTGCAATTGATGGGATTAGAAAATAACTGTGACCAACAAATGCTGGGAAAAAACTCTTTGGGTAATGGAGATATTGTTCATGACAGGCTTTGGCATCCTGAAGCAGGAAGGCCCTTTATTTTTCTTGTGTCTGTTCATGGGTGGCAAAGTTGCAAATGCATATTGGAGGATTCAAATTTGGTAGGCTTTGATTTCCCATCATGTTTGACGGGCTTTTATATTAGTATATATAATACTTCACTCACAGTTATCTTTTTCATTTTCTTATTTCAGTACCATATTTTAAATTTCACCAAGATCTTTCATTTTGACAATGAGAGAAAAGAAAATCAATACTTGTATATTTTAGAGTTAAATAACATTTCCTAAACTCACATTTTTGATAAGATAAATAAAATACACTATCTTATGTATACAGTTTTAGATCTCTCTATCTTGAAAATATCTGAATTTGTTTTTTAAAATTGTAAATGGACTTGGCTTTATACCTACCTGAAGAAAACTGGATTATGTCATTTGGATTTGATGGGAGAATAAACCCATACTCTAACAACAATCGTCTGTTGTCATGGTTACCATAGTTAATAAAAACTTGACTGTACTTGCTAAATGGTGTTAAAGTCACAATCTCATAGCAGTTATTTTCTTGATTCATACCTGCCTTAACCTATGAAAGTTAAGAACAAATTTATAAAACACTGTGATGATGTTATGAAAAGTTTCTCAAATGCAATTATTCTCTTAAAATAAAGAGCTGAAAAAATATACACTAATGTATCCTCTTCCTGTTATGTATGAACTTCGACCCATTTTTAAATATTCAGATTACTACAAATCTTTAAAAATCATCTGTGTTATAGTTACTCATTTACACATAAACTTTTAATAAAACTTGCTTAAATGACTGAAACTTAAGAATACTTGCACATACAATAATATACCAACACAACTAGTAGTCATGTACTAACACCTAACTCAGGTATTTGTTTTAGATTTAAAAGCTAATCTGCCATGGTTTTAATTTTATGACACTGTATAAAGCTAGGTGCTACATTCAGGTGGCTCAGTATCAATGTGACACAAACTTAACTGTATTGAATAAGAGACTGAAAGACATATTACATAAGATGATAATTTTTTTACGTTTGAATTTTCTTTTTAAACTACCTTGTTTTATCAAAATTTGCATCTATATTTAATAATTCTTTCTAATAATAATAAAAGCCCACCGTAGGAATTATACAAAATTTTATTCACTTATTATTCAAAACTTATGTTAACAATGCATTCATATACTATTTACAGATTTTCATAAAAATATAGTTAAGGTAAGAACTATACAGTAAGTAACAAGAGACCAAAAGCCATTCACATCACAGAGATTATCAACTGCCTTTTAAACATTCCATTCACCATTAAAAAGATAAATAAAATATGACCTATTATTTCAGAAACTCTCTCCAGTTTGTACTATGAACTTTAAACTTTGATAAATTCCGTTCATCACTTAATCAGTATGAGCTAGTTAGAATTGTGTACAATGAATCATTGTTTATAGAAAATTGAATTTTTAACTATGAGTTAAGAAAACCTGCATGAACCACATACTTGGTGAACAAGAAATAAAAATTCATGTATAGAAAATTTAATTGGGTGAGTTGGTAAATTCTATCATAAGGCAAATTCATTTATAAATACACAATTCTCGGTTTCAAAAATTTTACTTTTAATAGGGATGCACGGGTAGTAAAATGTGGCCGAATACCGAGTCTGGGTGCACGATCACTAAGCTTCGGCTAGGGCCGGGTATCACCTGGGACCAGGTTCTCCCCTTGCCTCCCCCCCAAAAAAAAACAACAACATACACAAAAATTAGAAACAAAAACAAAATTGATGTTTATTACATTTAACCGAATAATCACCAACTGAACATTCAAGTTTAAATTTCAACTTTCAATGTCTAGCCCCAACTTCTCAAACCCTAATCCCTATTGTTCTCAAAACTCCCACCTTCCACAGAAATCCTCTTCTCAAGCCATGCCTGTTATTAACCCCTATTGTTCTCCCCAATTTTCAGTGGGTGGTCAGTTTTTGCTGCTCGGAACACTTTTTTTTTAAACTAAATCAATTATTGACTGTAACATTTAGAACCGCATTAGTTGCCAAAAAGATTAGGGCTTAGATGCCTAACTTCAGAGCCAAGTATTACAAGTAGCCCAATACCCGGCTGGGGATGAATATCTGGCTGAGTACCTGTGCATCCCTACGTTTTAATATCATTTCTGATACCCAAACATTCACTATTAGCTTCATCGGTTCAAAGCTCAGACAGACTTTCCAAAATCACAATCAGTGCTTGAATTATATCAATCCCAATTTTCCACATCACCATAAAGTTATATCTACCTGAACATGGCTGGAGTGATTTAGCCAAATTTTCCACATCACCATAAAGTTATATCTACTTGAACATGGAAGGAGTGATTTAGCCTAATTTTCTACACCACCATAAAGTTACATCTACCTAAACATAGCTGGAGTGATTTAGCCTAATTGTCAACATCACCATAAAGTTACATCTACCTGAATATAGCTGGAGTGCTTTAGCCAAATTTTCAACATCACCATAAAGTTACCTACCTGAACATGGAAGGAGTGATTTACCCTAATTTTCAACATCACCATAAAGTTGCATCTACCTGAACATAACTGGAGTGATTTAGCTAAATTTTCAACATCACCATAAAGTTATCTACCTGAACATGGCTGGAGTGATTTAGCAAATCAAGAAAAGGAGCTAAGGCAAAGCTTCCTTCGTTTTCACCCTTGCAGGCAGCCCTCAGATACACACACCTTGTGTTTACAGTGAACCATGCCCATCTGTAATCTTTAAAAGTCAGCTGGCCCTTCACCTCTGGAAAGAAATTTTCTATCTGTAACAACAATCCTTTTAATTTCTGGTAAGACCTCTGCAAGCAACATATCTGTATCTGGACGTTTTCTTGAAGACTGTATGGAAGTTCTTTGATAGCTTCTTGGCTAAAGTATGCTGGCGTTGAATAAAACTCTGGAATAATATCAAAGTACTGTAGCCATGGTGACTTTTGTCCTCTGGCCTTTTCACACATTACAAAAATTGATAAGGTTTCTTCAGGGGTTAGTTCCTTGTTGTACCTAACATTGAACCCAAAGTATTAAAATTTTACACAGTAGCAAAAACACACTTACTCATAGTTAGAGGAATAACATATCCAAGATAACATTACTATGCATGCTAAATTATATACCAAGTCACAGATGTCTGTTTGGCACAGTATGCTTCTTTTATAAACAATGTATCTAAATGTTACTTATAAGGATTGTTTTTAGATCTTAGATACTCAAATTGAAACCAAATAAGACAATGTTTTTGTTTTTTCTTTTGGTGTTGATTATATACTAGTATTGCCCATTGTTGTTTAAGCACATGCCTATTCTTTCCTTCACAATGTAACACATAATAAAATTTCTAACAATAGTACTCACATATAAACCTTTGTTTGCCCAATGAACACTGTTCTAACAGAGATTCTACACATCAAGTAATTACCCTTCTATAAAATCTGTAAACTCAAGCATGAAGGAACCAGCATTTCAGATAACCACAGACTTTCAGGCTATATAATCTTAATTACAAACAACTGAACACACATTCAATAATAGAACAAAACTGAGGTAGTATAATTAACAAGATTGTCACCCAATTTTTTCAAATTTCTCAACAATTTCAGATGTCCAATTCCAAGTTTAGAATAAAGTTTATACAGCTGGGTAATTAATTCAATTACCTTTTAGCACTCATTACATTGATTAGTGTCATGTTAAGTAATCAGTTAATCAAAATTATGATTAAATCAATTAATTTTATGAAAATAATAAGCTATGTTTCCAATTATTACTGTTTTTGATTATTCCAACTATTCAATGATCTAAATTACAATTAAGTCAATTAATGTCATGCAAATAATAAACTAATTGAAATTAGTGTCTCTGATTACTCCAACTATCTAGTAATTGTAATATTACCATTATGTTTGTTTGCTGTTAAGAGCAGAGTTACACAGTAAGTAAGTAGTAATTTTACTAACTTGTGTCACCTCAGGAAATGACTGTTTTGTAATTGTTTTCAATCAATTAAAAAAAAAATTAAACCACTGCATATCATCAGTCATGTAGAAACCACATTACATCCAATTTTTTTACGGTTTGTTTCTTTGATGGAAACGTTCTCAGAATATGTCACTCCACATTTTGTGAAAACTGTGCATGTCTTCCAATTAGAATTCATACATTTAGCACATTATCAAAACCTTGCAGCTCACATGACTTGATTTTTGTAGTTTTTTATACCATGTATCTATGAATCTATAAAATTGGGCTTTTGGACTTGCATGGTTTAGCAACAACATGTAAAAAAATTGCTAAGTGATCTCAGAACTGTTCATAATTTTAACATAATATATTTTTATGGCAAAACACTCACAATTGAAGAAGTGGAAGAAGATAGCTTCTTTTTACTGTCTCCGAAGTAATAAGCAAGTTCCGTGGAAGAGAAACAATCACTTGACCGGCACTTACAGACTCACAAGCCATCAATCCTCGCCCAGTATCTATTGTAGTAAACCAAAAAATTAATGGTGTTGGCATTTTCACCTCTTTAGATCAGATGTGATCTTTGTCGCTTGCCCCAGTCTGTAACCTTTCTACCGTACAAACTTGGGAAGTGAATTCATACAAACTTTTTACTTTTAACCCACTCATTCACCAATTTTCTCATAATTTTTTATTTACCCTATAAATTTTAGATGTTGCTAACTAATAAAATACATTAAGTTATAGAATAAAAGGTGGGATAATATGAAGAATATGTACGTGTCAAATATGGGCAAATGTACCAAGTAAATGCAAATTATTTATAAAATTATTTTATAGCACATGTCCATGATCATGTATGAACACTGACTGCACTCAATAGCACTAAAGAAAAACATCAACAAATCTGAGACAAAATTAACATATGTGTTATAGCTTTTTCTGAAACTTGGTTGAATATCCGAGTACCTTGGGATTACAATCACTATTACCGTGAAATAAGTAGAAAATACAATGTAAAAATTTCTACAAAAGGTTTACATAAATTATCGTGAAGCACCTAAAAACATACAAATGTTCATCCTTTGAAATAAAGCATTACTAAAATTATTATAAACTTACAAAAATTGTAAACGCATATGTACACTACATAAATCTTTAAGAATTTCAGAGAAAACAAGTATTTGTCAAATAATATTCAATGATTTTAAAGGATATGAATTTTCACTTTATCGTAATTCAGTTCATAAATACAAAAAACGATGACTATGTTGTTTAAACCTTTTTAATAGTTAAAACGACTAAAAGACAAGATTGTTGCGAATATGTAAACACAACTTTTTTCACCAACAACTCGTTCTAAAATATATTGAAAGGAATACACACATCTACACAAATATTTTCATTTAAAAAAATCAGTATTTATTCAGGGGTTTGAATTTAAAAAATTCAAACTATTCTATCTACGGCAGAGGATGGTTTTGAAAAAGCTTAAAACCTGACAGCTTATTTCTAAAAAAGCAATTTTCATACATATTGGAAACCACGTTCAAAGCAAATCACATACACATTCTTGTTACTTGCAAAATATACATGTACATGAACTGAGTATTAAATGACTTGATAGGTAATGGTATTTTCAACATGAAAATACTAAAAGTAAAAATTTCAGTTCTATTTTTGTTTATATTTTACCTTTAAAAAGTGCTGGTTTTAGTTTTGTTATCATGGTAAATCCATTTGATCTTAACCAGCTAAAAAGTTGCTGATATGACTTTTTGTGTTGATTTATGCAGGCTTGCTGGGCTTTCAGCCATTTTCTTCTTCTCAAAGTCCTTCCCATTTCACACATTAGCTAATTTCAAGCTAATATTTATTATAAAAGCTTCAGCCTGCAAATGAAAACATGAAATATATTTATTTAAGTTGATAATCACTAATTAACTTCACATGTACTATAGAAAACTCCTGTTAAGAATAATTTTTACACCAAAACTTTGAAATCACTTCAAATAATTAACTAATACAGCTTCTTAAATCTTTGAATGTACATGAAAAGAGAAAACTGTGATATACATATATATATATATATATATCTGGGTCGAAATTCACAAAATGTTTATAGCTTCCAAAAATTCTAACTGGTCCGCTCCAAGAACATGTTAATTCCATTCAATCAATTGCAGATGTGAATGAATTTTTTGAAGATTCAATCGCAAATATTTCTGTGTGCTTGTGTAACATTAAACAAAATGCTTTAATTGAAAACAACAGTTTTTGATTGTATCACACTTGGAACGTACATACTCTTTATATTAATAAAACACACAAAAAATATGTGACTAGAAATTACCATATTAATATTAACTAAAAAGTAAGATACTTACTCCTCCATTGAGATGTTAATATTCATCACACTTTATTTGGATTGATCCTGCCATTCATATGTTTCAGGACACTCCTTATCATATCATACATCACAGAGATTTCCCATAATGTTAAAAAATAGACCAGGAATCCCAGAAAGCTAGATGCTCTACTTGAGAAATGGAAGTAAAAAAAAAAAAGATACTTTCACGAGACAAAAACACAACTATATGATTTTAGGGAAAAGTATAGAAATGCATGTTTGATGACAAGGTAAAATAGGAAAAATGATTAACATTCTAATATGTCCTGTTGATCCATTAGATTATTTGGTTTCTGCTATTCTTAATCTCACTGGCAACCTACCTGGTAAGGGCCGACTAAACAATACAAATTTCATACCCTGATTTGCAATTCAAAACAAGAAAAGCTTGTTGGTAATATGCAGTACTGAGTGATACTTGAAATACACATACAACAATATATCTTGCCTAATAACAAGCTGATTTTGGTACAACATGTTTACCATGTTTTAAAACATTTGTGGAACATAAATTAATGAAGACTTGATTCAGATGTTTAACATTTTTAGCAATTTTTTAAAAATCTTTTAATAAACAGTCTGTTTGAATGATGAAATAAAAAATGTTGGAAATGTATAAACTTGAGTAATAGTAATCCTCTGAATCTCATTACAACGTATGTATGTTTTGTACTAATAGCTTTTGCACCAAGTCATATTTTCACTAAGACTGATATATTTTTCCTAGCATCTTATAACAATTAAAAATTAATCATTAGGTTATTTTTTCTGTACATGACTTAGCTAACGTATTACTTAAAACAACAGATGCATACATAAATCATGTTAGCTATATATCACTCTCTTTGACCTCTCTCCTTCCTTTTTAACAGAAGGATTCAGCTTTTGCAACCTAGCAGGGTAAGGATTAACAATGAGGTTATTATTATACAGTGTGATGAAACATTTTAATGGCTGACTTTATGAGAATGCATAACACAACTTCTCATCCTGTTCACAAATTAAGTGAATGATATATTAAATTACACATGAAATATCTGAACAGCATGGTGTGAAACTCATAATAATTGCAGCAGAGGAAGTAATTTACAGACGATTGTGATACTTTACTTCTCAGGAGATTAGTTGGAAACGGGTGAGAGAAACTTCTCTATTAGCATTATATTATGGAATGAGATATAACACTATATAGTACAATCTTTAAACACCTAATCTGCCTACAGTTGAATGGAAAGGTAATCTATTTTTATACAGTCAGTAGTGAATTATCCAATTGTAGATTTAAAATGATTTGTGTGACTGTGAAGAAATAACCCCATTACCCCACACAATTAGTACAGCTTTACATGTAGTGCTGTCATAAATTTCCAACCCACACATAAAACTGCATAGCTAATGAAGAACAGACATCATAAATTCAAATTTTTGTAGACTCTTAGCTGCAAAAGTTTTTATTCTACAAAATTATTACTTTTTTGGTTTAACTTTGAAGTTTGAGTTTTAAACTTAGAATAATTTATCTACTTATGTTTTGTGTACTGGCCGAGTTTTTTTTTTCAAACTTTTTAGGATCTTATAAGACTAAACTCACAATTTACATATGATGTTTTGGTAGCTTAAATGTTTTTATAAATTATATACAGCTTGAGGGTAACCTCAATACAATTATATATTAATATCGAAGACAGGTCAATAACATTTTGTCACATTATTATTACTATTTTAGTTGCCAATAGTAATACTAGTAGTAGTAAGTACTTTTTCAATGTTTTTATACTCCCTATTAGTGTTACTCAATAAACTGACAATGCAAGCACTACAGCCCTAGTTTACACAATTACAATTACACTCTGAAAGTTATTTTAACATGAAATTTTAATGTCAGCTATATGTCTTTTTATTATCGATATAAATTATACAACTGTGTCATTATGATCAGAGATTTTGTAGAACTTACGTACATGCCAAACTCTAAATCCGCCGGAAAAATAATATAAGTTAATTATAAGAAATAATGAGTAAGAAAGACTTCCATGACGAGACGCCGCACATACATGAACATAGTTTTCCTTAAAATTAAATTATTTATTGCTCCTACAGATTCGAATATAAGGAAATATAGAAAAATGAAAAGGCCTGTTTTTTATTTTATAAAGGTTATTAAGGAAGGCATTTGAAAACAAAATAAACTCGTGCCTCGTGGTCGCCGAAGTCCACTAGAGGACGTTTTCCTCTTGCTCATATGGTATTTTTAGGTATTTTGTAATGATCTGAATTTGAAAACTTGGCTGAATTCTCTTTGTGAAAAAAAACAAAAAAAAACAAAAAAAAACGACTAGACGAATTGAATAAAATTAACACAATTTTTATTATACTAACACAAAAAATATAACTCAGGGTGCATGCTTGCGCAAACAAATTAGCACTTGATTCTACAGAGTCGTTGAGTAACTCGTCAGCTTTTCGTCTTTCTAGAAGAATTCCTGGCGAACTAGTCACGATCCAAAACTGGGTAGAACTGAGAACTGCTTTGATAATGAAAGAAACCTCCGATTTTTATCAGCAGCTTAGCGGCTCATAGAACGGCTCTGAGTTCTTTGGTTTGTTTTTTTTCAAGTAAAAACTTTTAGCTCATAGCCCCGCCATCTCTTGACCGACTTGAAATCTAATTACAGTTTTTGGCTCAGGAGGTCAAACCATTTTGATTGATTAGTTGACCTCACCCAAAGTCTCATACATTAATTAACGCTAATCCTGCCAAAAAATTCAATTTGAGGATAGGCTCGTAGAAATCTTGATGAGTAATAAAATCGGATCGGGTATACACGCGCCCCACACTTAATATTGCTGATGCACAAAAATATACTGTTACTACAGTGGAAGTCACGTGACCCTGCTGGCGCATGCGTGACTGAGTTTCTCGAATTATCAAGGAACTCCTCGAATTTTGGCAAAGCCTCTTTATTAGTATCTAAGCCTGGCGAGAAAAGCCAGCGGATACGATGATGAATTTATGATGATAAAGCGAACAGTAGTAACGGTGAGTTTCGGGTAATTTACGATTCTGTTTCGAGCTAGAGTGTGTTTTGCACTCGTAGAGGGCAAAATTATCGAGATTGTGAATCGCTGTGATTTATAGCGTGTATTATAAAAGTTTTTAAGTTTAAAGTGACGAGAAACGTACTGACTGTGGAGTTACAGTGTACTAAAAGTTTGTATCGTGAAAGAATAAACTGGTTTAATCAAGAAAGGACTTGTATCGCTGAAGTTACTTGGAAAGAATTTCTACCGGAAATTAACAAACAAGCAGATACGTAACAATATCTAATAAGAAATGGAAAAAATGTCTCATAGATTAATTTACTCTAATCCCGCCTAAAATTGTTTCAAATTCCGTGGCTATTGAGGGTTCCTTCTTGTTTCTCTTGCAAGGGTGTTAATACGTGACTATTTTTTTTACAACATTCCCTGGTTGTAATATACAGACATGATCCATCTGGGCAGTAAAGTATGTCGTAGCCTTGACATTTCTAAAACTTAAGTGAAATAGACCACAACATCTCCTCGGGTAGAGTAGATATTTCCTGCTATAGAGAGAAAAGAAACAAAGCATCTAGGACAAGGCAACTTCAACATGTTGCGTCAGCGAGATCATGTAACTATTCTCACGCCCTCTGCTTTCTAGAATTATCCTGTACCTTGGCGAATGCTCTAGCATTTACTAAATATAGGGTAGTCTGGTATATAAAAGAGGGTGACAACGTGACAGAAGAATGTGTGTAGACAGTGAGTAATTGATCTGCAGTATTATTGAGCACGTTCGTTGTTATAGCGTTTGTTTTAGCGCAATTGTTGAAATTAAGTGTATCGTAAAGTTATATTAGGAAAGAATAAACCAGTTTTATTAAGTAAGGACTTGTGTCGCTAAAGTTTCGTCAGAACGAAGTTACGGAAAGTTAATTAACAAACGGAGACGTAACAAACAGTTTTCTGGACTATATATTTATGCCAAAACTGCAGAGTGTTTTAATATGTTGTATCATTTGGTGGGTTGTTTTTATTATTTGGTGAAAATAATGCAAAGTTCCGTATGCCTAAAAGTAACGAATTAACTTATTTTCTCAATAAATGTTTACTATAGTTACGTTTACTTGTGGTCCTAATTTTATCAATAAACATTTCAACAGAAACTTCGAGAATAATGTGCGCCTAGCTTCAAACACAATGTTCCAATAGAAATTCCTAGACTAATGGTACATATGCCTAACTTACTCATAAAATTATTTCACAAAGTTAATTGATTTATAAACAAACATACGAACTCTCCGAGTAACAGAATAGACACAATAACTTTCATTACTAACACTGAACTGAATCGCCCCCCACTGGCCCAGCGGTATGTCTGTGGACTTACAATGCTAGAATCCGGGTTTCGATACCCGTGGTGGGCAGAGCACAGATAGCCCTTTGTGTAGCTTTGTGCTTAACTACAAACAAACTATACAAACAAACAAACTGAACTGAATCACTTGTTGAACATTTATTGATTGCTCATTGATTCTCTTGTTTATACCACACTCTTGTTTCTAGATATCACTAAAAACTTCAATTCCTAACCTTCATGAACTTTCCAGTTATGTGCCCACTAGCAAATATCTTGTGATATTTTCAGGTGAAATTGGTTTCTACATAAGAATCAAATAGATCTATGAATAACAGCAAGGTAAACCAGAAAATTTGGGGAGTAGTCTGTACTCGAAACCTGACTGAGTTTTCTATTCTGTAAAGTATTGAGACTGGACAAGTTTTGAATAAAAGAAACATAATCTTTATATATATAAGAGCATACGTATTTGCGCAGTTGATTATCTATTAGGTGGTGTTTAGGCATACAATTTTCACTATATCAAGATTAATCTCTGTAGAACTAAAACACGATTATCCTAAATATGGTCTTTACTTCAAGATTCCTCACTAAAACTGGACCAAGAAAGTCCACCATCACCTTGTGACCCTTGTTCTGTGTCACAGCATCTACTGGCTGTAACATATAGTCATCATCCATTTGGCCATCAAAGGATATTACAATCAGTGACCATTTCAACACAGATTTGGTATGCTACTCCAATATATCCTCGTGAAGAATAGACATTACCTACTATAGAAAATGAATCATCTAGAACATGACAACTTCAAAGTTTTTCTGGAACTTGTATTTATGCTAAAACTGCATAGAAACGAGATAAGCGAAATAATTAAAAAAATCCTATATAATTAAAGCAGGTAGAAATATATGATATCTGCATATCACAAACTCAATTAAAACATAGCTTACAACACACACTAGAAAAACTGAAAATTTTAAAACTTTCTAGAAGTTAAAACCAGGTATAAAATATATGATGTGCCTGCATATCACACCTATATATGCCAATTCCTCTTTTATATATTGTTGTAACATATTATACCGTTGGGTGTTTTTTTAATATATTTGGTGAAAAGTATTGGAAGTCCCTTCCACTTACCAATAATTATTTAATTTCTCTCTTTCATAATATTTTATACAGGCTATGTTTACTGATAGGCCTAGCTGCATAAACATCGTTTCAACAGAAATTCCAAACTAATGTATGTATGCCTTACAAATAGAACTCAAGTCACATGCTGACTAACTGACCAACTAATTAGATGACTGAGTCACTCAAGAATCAGAAACAAACTAGCACTAACTAAAGGTCTTCTGACTCTGAACTGATTAACCCTAACTCACTCAGTATGGCGTTTTTACATTGTACACTATTTCACAAACAATTAAAATGCAACACAGGCTTAAACCTTCATTAAGATTCTAGACTTCACAATTTTTACACATTATACAAACGCTCTCTAGTGAACAAGATATTAAAAAAATATCTCCTACAACAATTTGTCCTAGTCCCCCGATGGGTCAGTGGTAAGTATACAAATATACTTGGTTAAAATTCAGGGTTCAATTCCCCACAGTGGACACAGCACAGCACAGATAGCTCATTGTGTATCTTGGCGCTAAAACAAAATCCACAACAAAATTAATATATGTTTAGAGGGTAAGCAAGTACATTACTTCAAAGTAATATAAAACTATAAATTGGGGTGACCAGGAACGTTACTCCTCTACAGGGGATTTGCCCTATACATATAAGCAAAAGCCCGATAGATAAAGCATCAAAATGAGTAGTTACAGTTTTAGTACCTCTTTCTGTTTTACAGATGTTAAAAAGGAAAGCAAGAACATTATCTTTAAGCAAACTATTCAAATAATAGAAAGCTTTTCTTTAGTGTATTACTAAATTTATTTTTATTCAAACAACACATAAATACAAGAACCCCCTTAGTTGTTGAAAACAAATTAATTATTAGAGAGAAGTTGAGCTTGTTCAAAGATATAGTGAGTAAAAAATATTGCCTATATCAATTTCTAGGGTCAACTCTTTTGCTGTTCATAGGTATTTTATGCTATTTTAAATAGGAAAAGATAAATAATAAATATGAATAATTAATGAAAATATAACAAGCTAGATCTTAATCATTACATAAAGTGAAATATTCTGGTCAATAATATTTAAAAATCCAGTTTCCTTTCTATCTTTCATATTTTTATAATTACTTTCTTTGTATGTAAGGTATTGTACAAACAGATAAGAAAATGAGTAATAACGTTATTACAATATTACCGATATAATACACCAGGACACGGTTTTCCTTATGTGATGTGTTAAGGTCGTTGCGAGAACGAGGCCGAGCATTTTGACGAGTAAACAAAGCAGATTTTCTTCATTCATTCTACCCCTAATTACAACTATTACATAACTCACCAGGTGGTTAACTATAGAGATTCACAAACAAATGTAACTTATCAAACATCACTCCTTTCAAAGGTAAGGCTTAATAGTGCAATCGTGTCTTTCAAGAGTAAAATAAGTGGAATAACTACAACCTTATGGGCGATAATGGAAGTTTTTTAGACCTATATTGCAGTTAACAACCAGCTCTATACTTTACATCTGGCTGTATATGAACAAACCTATTCCATACAACTTCGAGCTGTCACTTCTTATTATATTACCATCCAAATTATACTTATCATTCAAATTATGATAGCCCATATCAGGGGAGAAATTCTCAAAAACAAAAAGTAGAGGTACTCAGCTGGGTGAAGTAGAGCTGTTCTG